GTAGGATGCTGCTAATCGTTCCCCCTTATGATGCTTTTTGCTTAATACATCAGATATATGTGTTTCAGCACGAGAACTCCTGGACGTCGCTGTATCGTTGGTTCAATGGCGGGTGCTACAGCAGTTTTCCTCACTTATCCCTTGGACACCGCAAAAGCTCGCTTATCAATATCAACTAAGAGGGAGTATGCTACATTGGCGTCGGTAACTTGCCTTTGAACACACATTCTTCCTTGCAATTCAATATCTCGCGAAGTGAATTTGGAAGTCTATGAGATACCTTACCGGGGTCCCTTTACCATTTGTTTGGGAGAGATTAGAGGATGATGAGTACTTTTTCAGGTCTTCATAAAAACCATCAATAAAGGGGGAGTTCTCACGCTGTACAGTGGATTGTGGCCCACTTTACTAGGTATCCCGATTTTTACCTTTTTGTTCTTATTGCTTGAGCTATACTGGCTCAACCTTGCGTCATTTAGGACTTTTATTCTAACCCCTTTAAAAAACGTCACCAAGCAAGCAGGATTTTGCTGGAAATTGCAATAAAGTGAGCACGTGACGTTGAGGAGTTGAATTGTTTTAAGCCTATCTCTCATAGTGATATTTTTTCAATTGTACCCTATAAATACACCTGTGTGAATTCCTACTCAAAACAACTTTAGTGTAATTTTGTATGATGACAAGCAACTTTGAAAATACTTCTATGATAAGAAGTTCCAGAGAAACAGGCTGACGGTTATCACCCACATGCACATTGTGCCTCTAAAAGATTTGTTTCAACTTTTTCATATATGTTACCCACGATTACTTCTATCACGCGTGTTTTCCTCTTTGATTATCCTATTTTACGAGCGTCTCAGTTTATATATGTCTGCTACTACAGTTTTTCGCATGAGCCTGACTTAATCTTCTAAATCCGCACAATATATAAAGCGCTCGCGTCTGTCTGTCCGTTTGCCTGTTTATTTGTACGGAAGTTCGGCATTGCCTGAAGAAGCAACTGCAGAAGTCGAGTCGAGTTCGGGATGGGTTGGGCGTAAGGTAAGACCAATAGAGCACATGTGGACTCAGCGGAGCTGCGCCCACACGGGACGGGCATACACGACAGTGGATGGTTTCCTGGGCAAAATATCTTAATTAGGTTTCTAACAGCCCAAACGCCGGGAAAAACGAACTGAGGGAGACTCACCGGCGTTGAGCGGTATTTGCACATAAGATTATACGATCCAACGGAAACGTGAAGGCCAGAAAAAATGATCGAAGTGACAAGGCCTTATACGTGTTGGGTATACGTAAACATGTCGAAGCTCCATCCTCAATGGGCGAGCGTGCATTCGAATGTTAGATCCATTTGATTCATAACTCTGTTCAAACGTTCTATAACGGGGAAAGTAAGAGATTAGAATCTATAGCAGAAACGTGGCCAAGCTCCTAAAACGGCTAGGCTTGCGCTAAGGTGGATGGGAGTAAGATTAAAAGCTTATAAGTTTGGTCAAAAGCGTACTAGCACGCGGGACTAAAGTGGTTGGAGACTATGGAAGGAGAGTGGCCAATTTCCTAGAATTGGGTTGATAAAGAACTATCTCATTCTGATAGATCAAGTATTCCCCTGGATAACTCCATCGCAGATGAGCGGTTGGTTATTTAGTGCACGCAGTCGTGCTTAGCCCAACTGGTATTTTGATAAACGAGATGCACCTCTAATTTTTTTAATAGACGAGATGAATAACCTAGGGCCTGTCAACTTACCCTCCTAAAAGCTTCACTAGAACATTTCTATGGTTCATTGTTCTTTTGCGTTTTCATCCTGTATGGAAATCTAATGGGTTTACTTTTCGATCAACTTGTCTGCTACTACTCAGTGTTTGATCCTTCACGATTTGTTATTCCGCTAGTTTTCAGATTTCGCCATGGAAATCTACTCTCCTAAATACATAAATGATATTGTGATGTTGAAACTACAATCACCTCTCAGTTGTAGTTCTTTGACAGATACTACACTTCTTACCTCATTACTCTGTTTCNCATATTTTGATCCATCTTCGAAGGGATTGAACTTCATCATTGTAACCTTGAAACGCAACACATCGATATATTCTTTTTTTTGTAGAAAGCCCCGTAGAAAATTTGCAATGCAGTTCTAAATCTGATATAGGTATGTTGGCTTTCTTCATCGGCTTTTATACCACGGAAGTTCTCGTGCTGACTTCTAACAAACTTTTAGTGGTATTCGAGCAGGGGTGTAAAGTTAATTGTAACGTTGATCATCTCGAGTTCGCTTCCTGAAATCAAATATGAGCAAGCTTAGTATCATACCATTTTATGCTCCCAAAAAGATACTTTAGCCGTGAGAAACTTTCGTTTCGACTCATATTTCAAAAATTTCCGTTTACAGGAGTCACTCCATACGCAGGTTCTTCATTCTTCACGTATGAGACCTTGAAGTTGAAGTATAAGGTTGGGTCTTCAATTCCTCCGTAGATTCGGTCCTTATTTCCCTTACTGAAGTATATCTATCTAGAGCAGCATCTATCTGCAACAAGCTTCTTATTAAACGCTAATTAAAACGGTATGCATTAAAAATTTTCAGGAAAGGACTGGATATGATGCTACTTCCCCGTGGAGAATGCTTTTTGGCGCGTTTGCCGGATTAGTGGGACAATCTTCGTCTTATCCACTCGACATCATTAGACGAAGGATGCAAACCGGTCACATCAAACCAAACAGCGGAGTGTTAAGATCTCTCATCTCCATCTATAAAAACGGTATGTTGCAGTTAATATTGCACTTTTTTTCATGTATGCGTGTGTGTATGCGTATTTATCTGTGTTGCGCTTCTTATTCACGCTTATACGTTATTTTGATTGCAGATGTTTCCTCTCCCCATTTCATTCTTTTCAAGGTTTTGGATTCATTTTTCAGAAGGCCTAAAACGTGGACTCTATAAAGGTCTCAGCATGAATTGGGTGAAAGGCCCAATTGCCGTTGGTGTCTCCTTCACAACTTACGAATACCTCAGACAGTATTTTATTTCATAGGGATCCTACAGCTGTAGTAGATTAGATTTAGTCTCGAAGCTAGTTTATCACTTTTTGTTGCTCAATCTAATTACATTTTTAGTGTTTCTCCTTTGTTTCCGACGATCTTAAAATGGAGGCCTTTATTTTGAACTCTGCCTAGTGCGTCGATTTGCCGAGTGATTTTCCTCCTACCTTCATTTTGCTCAGGCATCACAATGTGCTCTTTCATTGGGAGTGCCGCCACAGGCGGTCAAAAGTTTGATACTCTTCTTTTTTGATCCAGTGTGGCCTACAAAAAATGTCATTGTCCGACTCTACTGAATGTGTGTAGATTTAAAAATAAGTGGGAAATACAACAGACTGAATAGTTTTTCAAAAATTGGTTGTCGCAGTAAGCACACATTAATTATTCGGAAATTGGAGCGTCGGCAGTTTGGAAACCACATGATATCGACGAAATTCGTCATTTCGAATCCAGTGCTCCCACGAATTCCTAACCTAGACGAGAACGCGCGTTTCATTTGTGATCATTGAAACAGATTAGCCTACTAAAGCTAGTATTTATGATGCTGTGGATTCTGTAGCTGCTAAAACATTTATGCTTTTACCGGTCCTGACTTTGACTTCTCCCATCGGGATGTCTATATCCTCCGAGAAGAACGAGCTTACGACAGGATCGAGCAACCTTCTAATGTCAAGTTGGAAACTTCCCTATTTCCATTATGTAGAGGCTGGTCAACCTGACCCCTTGAATGTCCTAAAGCAGATAGTTTTCGCCACTACGTTTGGTTTGCGAAGCAGTAGCCAATTTGATGACTCCTGTTTACTGGTTTCAATAAACTTCGGAATATCTTATCTAGTAAAGCAGAACTCGATTCATTGCTCAANAAAGGCCCTTTCTAATCATCCTTGGTATCAAAATGGTGCTTGCGAGGCTAACATTTCTCTTCCGAAAAGAGACTACTGACTTGTTTTGGTTGTGTGGATGTAATCTGAATATTTGGTTCTTCTTAACCTACCGCGAAGGACACTCTAAAGGAGGACCCGGAAGTATCCACTGGTTGAAAATGCTAGGGGTAAATGTGTGGATCAGATTTCGAAGCTCTGAGAATGGGTGAGTCAATGCCTGCAGATATCCTTCGTGGTAAATGTGAGCGAGGCATCTCACTACATTTCCTCCTCTTTGTATGGAAATCTTGGTGGTACTGGTCAGACTTTTTCTTACTGTTGAGGGAGAACCTTCTTCGGTGATCTGAGCTGGATTTCCTGAACAATTGCACAGATTTTCTTTTTACAGCGGTACCCTTTATCACTGGAAATCACGTGCTATGAAATAGGTTAAAAATCAACGAAAGCTCCCAGGCGAGCACAGTAAGAAAGCGCATGAAAGGTTAAGCAGCGATTTCCCTTATTCTTGACTGATTTGGTTCATGGAGTATGCCGGGTTTACAAAATTAGCGATCAATTCTTGGAAAACTGCAATCGTTTCTCTTAATTCCTTTGATATGACAATTCCTCTTTTATGGGCCACGTCAGATCGAAAAAAAGTGAATCCAAGCTATCGACCTGTACTGTGTATACTTTCACCTCGGTGCCATTAAAACTAGTGTTTTCTTCCGCTGTTCTTTCGTTACCCTACCCCATTAAATAATCGTTTCATACTAGCTTGATATTCTAGTCTGGAATTGCCGCTGTTTAACAGTTTCTTCGTTTTAACCATATTCCACTCAATAGCGGTTGCTCATTATTGTAAATACTTCATAATATACTCGCTGTAGCTCTTTTGAAATCAATAGGCAAGATTTTTTAAAATGTTTTGTTTGACATACCGCAACCACCACTATTACCTGGAGGAGTAATAAATTGATTCAAAATAATATCTCTTTATAGGTACGGTGTCTTAACCGAAAAGATTATTTTGAAAATTTTTGCAAACTTTCATCGAAATTCGTCATCAAGCTATGCTCAGTACTGGTGTCAGTGACTCCTCTTCACTCACGTTTTTTTTCTTTTCTCTCCTTCTAGTTTTCTTGTTACCACTGTAAACTTATCCTGTTACTCGATGCTTTCGAAATTTACCGTCTTCTAGGCCTTCAGTTATGAGCGTTTGATAATATTAGTAATCAACAATGGTTAAGTCCAGTTCCGGTGAGTATCTCCTGTTCTTCATGTTTATTTGCTGAGTGAAGAGATTCACTGCCCCTGATTCCCAGTAACTTCTCTACAATATTTTCAGAAATTCGCAAAGGTGACGTGATATGGGCTCCCTATCGTCGAGATCCTCTGTGGCCCGCACTGGTAAGTTTCCGCTAATCTGTGGTCCTGAAAGCAGCGAGATAACTTTTCTACTTTTGTAATTAATTAGTTCCAACAACAGAACGTAACATGCAGCAACAAAATTCGATGTGTAATTTTGTTCTAGTTTTGAACCAGTCTGAAATAGTGTGTCGGCAACTTGAGGAAAAAATAGATTTTTGCCAAATTTTAGGTGCGTAACAGCTACCCTAAGAAAGTGACGTATATATTTTTCCCATTGCCTCGTTCTGAAGCTTCGGAGAACTCTTCAAAAAAGACTCCAACGTTCAGCTGTCAACCAAAAGTGGTTTTACATATTTCTGATAACTTCATCATTCAATGATCACCTAATTACAATACATTTCTAGGCTGTTCGTGCGTTGTCCATAGACGATGTTTTGCCTTCTCATTCTACAACTGATCTCATAGAGGCGTTTGAGGCCGCCATAGAGTACCTCAATAAAAAAGGATTGCCAACAGTGAGTGTCCTATTTTCCTGATATTTATACTAAGGTATCCAGCTTCGTTGGTATAATGGTGTATGAGGGCAATTTTTATTCAAGGGTTCTGCAGCACCTCGATTAATCACCAAAACTGCCTCTCAGGGTACTGAGACAATGTCATTTCGAAACTCTGCCAGGCACTTCCCAAACGACGATAAAAAGGTCAAAGTATAGTTCAGTTTTTAAGGAAAAGGGTTGTGGAAACGAATGTTGTTATTGGCATTGATTACAATAGTTTTTGTAAAATGGTTGCATGAGTCTTTCTCTCATGATTCAGGCAAGCCAAGACGTCATTTGTAAACCGGAAATGTGTGCCGGAAGTCAGAGCTTTGCAAATCAATGCGTTGAGGGAGGCATAGCTAAGGTCGGAGATGAGTCGAACAAAGGTATGATGATTACTTTGCCGATTCATTCACGCACTCGAGAGAAGGTTAATTAATTTTCTGATCATCTTGTTCAGAATATTACATACTCTATAGTTTTTCGGAACGCGTACTGCGGCGATGTAACAGCAGTTTACCAACCATCAAGTCTATAGGTTATTGACTCATACTAAGGGCTGAATGTCGTTCCTCCCCCACGTATTTCAATAAATTTCTGAGAGGGAAAGAATCGTATATTCACTATTGATTGGATTTGTGTAAGGTCTAATGGCGGCCCAATGAATACTCTTCCACATATTTCGATAACAGAGAGTGGCGCATATGGATGTATGAAGTTTATTTATTCTGAAGATGGTCTCTTTCAGAACAACTCTCTCTTAATTTTTACAGTAAGAATAGCTGTGAGTTTTAATTAAATCATGCTGTAATGGTTAATTAACGAATTACTACAAATGCGACCCATATTTTTTCGCTCAACCACGCTTGATGTACTTTCGCTCTAACCTGTCGCCTTATTTTGAACACAACTGATTCAGAACAGCCACATAACCCAGTTAGAATGAAAGGACATTGCAAAGTTAAAATTTAACAGCACCAAGCTCATCAAAATATTCGCCTTTTTTTACAGAATTTGTAGCTTATCGAGCCAAATTATCATTTACTGCTCTTTAGAGTAATTTGGGATTTTGCGCCTGGTAGAAACAGGATGAAAAACGTTCGAAGACAGAATAGTGGTTGTCTTCAATGCCACAAGAGACCAATGCAGATCATTCAAGAATTTCATAAATTGCATTTGGAATTGCAAATTGCAAGATCGTTTTTCTCCAGGAATCTCTTCTCGAACGGAAATATTGCAGAGTATTCCTGACCTTTTTAAACCACTTCTTTCCATTTTTCCCAATCGAAGAAGGAAAGGAATGTTTCAGACAAATTTCCTTCTTTCATATTTCTTGTTAAGCATATTAGACACTGATCTCGTCCGCTAGATATAAATTCTGTGATGAGTTATATCTGTTTAGCAAAACGCAAACCGTTACCGTCGTCTCCTTCGAGAGCTCCAGCGTTTGCTGCAGACTCGACAACACATTCGGACACTTCTCCATCACCCGATCTCCTAGCGCCTACCGTTAGATTTTACTCGAAAATCGTTTTGGGCACAATTTTTTTGAACATAATGTCTCGTTTTCACAGATATTTCGTGAAGCAGTCTCTATACTGGAGCGTATTTGGGCTACAGATCTAGTCCAAAATTATGTGACCCCGCCGCGTTCTGCGTTACATTTAGAAACGCACACAGGAGGTCTTTTGTCAGGTGAACGTCTAGACTACGTGCGTTATCAGATCGCCCAAAAGCAGATTCTTGGAGCAAGTAGCGTTCTTTGAATCTTTCAAGTTTAGACCATGAAACTGACAGTCTCTTCGACCTGATCTTCTTTTGGGTTCGCGACCGTGAACATGACTCTTATTTCCTGCCTGGTGTTCATCTTGTACTAGAGGTTCTTATGCCAGAAGTAATAATTCAAGCCCTCGTGCAGGTAATTTATTTATATTTTCTTACTCCCTTGTGGATACTTTGAGAGAATACTCTCCACTTTGTTTTAAAAAAAGTATTTGGATTCTCTTACTTTTAAGGCACGTGGTATTTCACGGGAGGCAGCAGAGAGGATGGTGCGATATACACCGTCCGAAAGTAGCTGTAGTAGCAGTACAAGTAATGAAGTGAACTCTGATCATTCTTTTAGGAATAGTGGGCAGAGCAGGTACGCCGTTGAAAATTCTTTTCCCTTAATGTTGCATAATTAGAACATAATGGTTAACAATATTCGAAGCAGTAGCAGTTTCGAACACCTAGGTTGCTTCACGACAGATGTTCAAGGGATCAGGTTTTGCTCAGCAATTTCTGACAGCAACATCTGTTAGAATCCTAACCTAATGGCAATTCATTCAAATTTTCTTTGAAGTATAGGAGCGTAAGTGAATGAAATCATCACCAAACGGAAGCTGGTGTTCTGGCTTTGTAAATTTTGCGTACCAACCACTCGCTCTTTCAGTCGAGCAAATTCTCGATGAAGCAATCGAAACAACCAGTTTCTGCCTAGGTCGAATCTCATTAAGTATGAATAGTTTTTCTTGAGATGCTTTTTTTTTTCAAAACTTGCCCCGAAAACAATCAAGTCGCTGGTGACTGCTTAATTGTAAGAGGCATGGTACAGTGATCATGCAACGAGAGCACATTCTTTCAATTTTCCCTCCTCGTACGTTGTAGTCATAGCAACTTTAAAGTTAACTAGTGTTTTGGCTGAACGAACTCTAAGTTACAGAAAATGTTGTAGTGCCCAGAAAAGTGGCGGAAGCCTGGACGAGTTGGCAAGAATAGCGTGTAAAGAACGGGAATCATTCACCGAGTGAAAGTAATATGTTGTTTTGTGCTTCTATTGACATTGAAATAGGCAGGCTTTGTGTAACTCAAATCGTATTTGTATTTGTTATTATAGTAACTTATGTTGACATTATCATGTTCGTGCGTACTACTGTTTTCTACAAACATCATTCTTTGCGATAATGTTAGAGACACGATTGTTCAAAAGAAACCATTGTGGCCTTGATGTTCACATCTCCTACTGCTAAAAAAGTTCAGTAGCAGAGACCTCCTAAATATGGGCATCTGCGAAAATCTGCCTCGTTTTCATTGAACGAATTGTTCTATACCCCTCTATGATTCATTCATTACCTTACTCCATTCCAAATCTTTCTGAGATTTCAGTTTATTTAGTTGATTTACATCGAAAAACGAGTACTGCAGAAGAAGTCATATCTCCTATAACTGTAAAAATACGGACCAATGAATATTTTAGCTTTGTCGATTGCATATAGTTTTCTATATTTCCATTTTATTTTATAGTTTTAATTTTATTTTATATTTAACAGTCTCTGTGAACGTGGTTACATAAGACCAGGAGTCATGTTCACGAATAACAGAAAGTAAATATCTCTGAGCACGAAGAGAAATATTATTCCATCTTTGATATGTCAGAGTTTCTAAACACAGGGCAACAAAAAAACATCAAAAGAAAAAGCACTAACACCACATTGCTAATGGATTTCACTGTGTATTTATAAGGGAGTTATGAGATATTTGGATCTCTCCACCATAAAGCAAGGTGTTGCATATTCAATAAATAGTGGAATCTTATGTGTACTGGGAACGAAAAAAAACAAACGATGTGAAGCAGAGCTACTGAAAGAATAGGGAATAATGTGTGATAATCTGTGCTCCAGAATAAATAGGGTATTAATATTAGCTCGCGTCTTCTTTGACATGTTCTTCGTAATAGGTTAAAAGGAGCGGAACCACCATAAATGTAATAACAACTAAAGCAACCAACGTCCATACAGAACAGGCAGTATCCGGTGGGCGAGCATCTACGAAATGAAAGGAACCTGGTAAACCACCCTCTGGTAATGCTTCTCGTACTTGAGCTGAAACTAAAAAGTTAACAAAATGGAAAAACTTTATAAGTAGTGACCGTATCATTACTTATTAGTAAAAAAAGACGAGGGACGAAGTGACGGTGAAGCTTGTAGTATGGTTATGTGGTTCAAACCATGGTATTACTTTTGCATTCTTATGGATCCCCGTTTATTATAGTGGGGTTACAGATACTTCAACGAACCAAAATTGGGCCGTTTACGAAAATTGTGTATGAAGATATACTTCACCCAAAATAAGCATCTCACGAGGGCTATTTAATGACTGCGAGGCGTCCACTTCTCGAGAAGTAGCGCGTTATTGGATTCGGGAATGTCACCATGGCATAGGAAAGAGCCCGAAAGATGAATGGTTGCTCTCTTACCAATCATAGTGTCCGTCCTGTGAAAGATATCGTCCACGCTAGCATCTTGTGAGGATGGTGTGTTCCTGGTGTCTGGTTTAGACTTCTCATTCTCCAGCAGACAAGCGCGCTCATCGAAATCTGGAAAAGGCCAAAAGAACGAAGAAATCATGTTTGGGAAGACTTGTAGAATAATGGACCTATTTGTTGACGGAATTTTTCAGAAATGCGTTTGCATCAGCCTAACTTCATTCCTATCTTTCTATGGGTAGCTTTTTTATTTTCCCTGTTTGGTTGCAATTTTTTCTTGTTATTTCGCTGAACTGGCCACCACGGTTACTTGTACAGGGAAGGGCGAAGACGGCTTAAGTCGATGCTTCGAATTTAGTACTATGTCCGGCTCAACCGCTCACTTCTTGCCACTCAACCAGCAGCATACAAATCGGTGTCGGTTCTACGAGGAAAGTTGTCATACTCGTGTGCTGATTCCGACAGTCCTATGATCCTCAGGATGAGGGCACCACGGCGATTTCGTGCGGCTACGAGAGCATCTTCATTGTACTGTCTATCATTGCAGCTTCTAGAGATTGGTATTCACCACTAATTTCATCCTCTCTCCCTTCCAAAACTCAGTTCCAAAAAAGGCAGCGGGTGGCTTATTTGCTACTTAGTCATTATGCTAGTTGTGGCGCACTCAGTGAACGTATAAATTATTACTATATATAAAGCGCTCTGTCTTTCTTTCTGTCTGTCTGTTTGTTTGTTTGTTTGCTTGCTTGTACGGAAATTCGATATAACGTGAAAAAATACCTGGAGAAGTCGGGTCAAGTTTGGAATGAGTTGAGCATAGGGTAAGTGCAACAGAGCACACGTGAGCCTAGCGCAAACCCGCCCCCAAGGGGCGGGGCATGCGCCGGAATTGGGCGGGGTAATGGGCGAATTATTCTAATTCGGTCTCATAACATTCCAGACACCGGGAAAAAATGTGCAAAGATGAGGGATGGGTCAACAATCAAAATAAAGGAAACTTACCGGCGGTGGGCGGAGCATTATCGCAGTGGTACGTGGTACTTTCCACAGTGATTCATAACTCGATTTAACGAAGGCGTCGAGGCCAGGAAAAAAGATAAAAAGTGTGAACAAGGCCTTATGCGTGCTGAGCATGCATGAGTATAGCGAAGCCCCGCCCACGAGGGGCGGGGCGTGCGTTGAGGTGAAAGCTACTTTTCAAAAATGAGTGTAACTTCGTTCGGAAAAGTTATAGAATGCGGAAAAAAGTGGGTAGAGGTAATGGGACAAATGTGGTCAAACCCCGAAAGTGGGTGGGGTTGGCATCAAACTGGGCGGGGCTTAGATCAAAACTTCATAGCTCTGTTCAGAAACATTCTAGAGTGCGGGGAAAAAAGTGGTTAGAGGAATAGGAACAAATGTAGTTAAGTCCTCGAAGGGGACGGAGCTGGCACATGGAAGCGGGGCTAGGACCAAAAATTCATCTCTTCAAAAACTTTCTAGAATGCGGAAAAATGGTTTGGAGCAGTCAAAAGAAAGGTGGTCAAGCTTATTGCGGAAAGGGTTTGCACTAAGGTGGACGGAGCTATGATCAACCACTAATAACTGTGCTCAAATATATCGAGCGTGATGCTATCAGCAGTTAAGCGTTCGAATCTAGAGAGAACTATCTTATTCTGTTTATCCAACATTCCGCTGAATGACTCCATCGCGGATAAGTGGCCGTCGGCATATACTGCGCGCGTTAGCGTGCATAGCCAAACTGGTAAATGAATAAATGAAAATCTATAAATATATAAAAGTGTTGTAGAGCGTACTAGCGTGTCTCGCGGCTTCCACCCTGGACAGAACCATTAGGTGAGTGCATTAATTTCCGCAGCCAAAATCCAAGGGCCGTTGCGCGAATCATGTTAGAGGTTTATCGGTGAAACCTGTCATATTCTATAAGGTAGGGTATTGGCTACCTACTCAAGGGCAGACAGATCAGTTTTTGCGCAAAGCTCCTTGCTATCAGAATGATTGGTCATGGAACATGATAAACCGTTTTCCCGGGGAGCCCTTCCCCTGGTGTTTGACTCCAAGAAAACTGGCATTGAAGCCCAGCGGATGCTTCTATGGAAGGCAAGCTTCATCTGAACGAACCTGCTGAGATGGTTTCTCTTCATTCGAGTGTTTGCAACGAAAGCGAAGTGTCCATTGCCAAAAAGCTGCGTAATGCTGTGTGTGTATTTGGTGGTGGGATCAAAAGGGTGTTGTGTACTATGAGCTGTTGAGTACGAGCGAAACTGTTACTACTGGCCGCTGCGAACACCAACTTGACAGTTTGTAGGACGCTCTCACCCAAAAGCGGCCGTTAATCACAAGGAAATATCATGAGGTGCTGTTCCACCACGCACATGCCAGATCCCATGTTGCGAAGAATATCCTTAAAAAAATCGCAGTTGTTGGATGGGATCAGCATGTTCAGCCTGCATACTCTCCACATCTTGCTCTTTCTGACTACCACCTATTCCGGTCCATGCAAGTCAGTTTGGCAGATATACGCTTCCGGAATGCCGAAGAAGTAAAAAAATCTGTGGAGAACAGGATTACCTCAAAAGATGAAGACTTTTTTTAGACCCGGAGTCAACAAGATACCAGAAAGAAGGCAAGAAGTTGTAGCTAGCGATGGGCATTACACTGGTTAATGTACATTTGGTTTTAATTTTGTAAAAAAATATGTTTTTGCACGCAAAAAACGGCGGAATTTAATGCACGCAGCTAATACTAACATCTCGTCTGCGCCCTTCACTAACACAGTATGTTGCAGCTCTAAACTGAGAACAACGAGACAAACTTAAACTGGAATAAAGTCGTCTCGAAGATGATAATGCTGAAAATAATCAATAACAGTAACCTAAAATAAGCTCGAAAGGCAATCTCATGAAAGGAGTGTCCAGTGAACACTATCCCGATGAGATAAATTAGACGAGCACACTCAAAGCAATATTTAGGATAAACTTTACGGTGGAATCTTGGAAGGTAACTTGACCCGAAATGGGTGGCAGTCAAGGTGTCTCCAACATCACGTCCAACTGTATTTTTTGCAATAATATGCTAAGAAATCTATGTGTATGACACAAACACGCACGTATACATGCACGAACATAAATTACAATCGTATATATAAACATATAAATCGCGCATATATGTATATTCACACAAGAGAGGGCAAAGCTGTGGAATCAAAGCGTGAACTGTTATCCACAACTTGTGAAGGGTTCTTCGTTCTTGAAGAAAAAATGTCTCCGCATGTATACGACTCATGGTAAACCTGTTTACCAAATACCACGAAAATTTTGCTTTCCCTCATTAGCAATGAAGCCATGGTCCCACCTTCTACCGACTTGCGCCGTCAAGGATTCTGTGCGGTCGACATTTTTCGTTGTTAGAAGCTCTCGGAAAGAGTGGCTTCGAAAGCTATTGCAAGAGTCATAGAACTATCAAAGCTCCCTGATAACCCGGGACGTGGGACCAACAATCACCAAAACTATTTTCGGAGGTCGGTAATCAAGTGCGTCTCGATTCGGTATCGTTAGTGCGAAAAATTGATAGGAAGATGTCTATTTCCTCAAAATCGGTGCTGAAGGCGCATCCAAAAAGGGATCTCACAAGGGAGTAGTCATTCTTCTGCAGTAGTTTTGATTGGTTTGTTGACAGATGCCTATTGATGGCGCAGTTGTACGCTGGCAAAACGAATGTGAAGGTACTCATTTACCTGAATATGAGGGAGCCAGCCCCCAATACAGTAGAGTTGGGTAGGACCTCCAGGTGTTCTCCGACATAAATGTTGCTGTTTACAATACAGTGTACAAGAGCAAGATTTTCTAGACCTGGTGCAAACAGAATCTCTTAGAATCCACAGCTTTGACAAAGTGCCCTCAGATTGCCGAACCTCTAACTGATCGACCCCGTTCTATGGAGCATCCTAAATCGATGGCATGCACGAAGTCTCACTGTGAACGCTATTCCTTAAGTGCATCCCTAAAGAATGCTTGAACGTGTCGAATGTCAACAACCCCCTCACCACATTCGAGGTCGAGGTATGCCCCGCTCAATTTTCGGAAAAACAATACCGAATACCCTCTTCTTGTGGTTTATTAATTTTTGTGATTACACGTATATACATACAGGTACATACATAAATATGTGTATGCTGATATACACAGATACTTGGCGAATTCTATTGAGGTACCTGCGGAACGCATACGTGTTTCTGCTTAGAGAAAAACACTGACTCGAACATTATGCATGACTGGTGGCAAAAAAAAGTGCGGGTAAAAAATACGAAAAAGACAGAGGTACCTATTATATGTTCGTCATCCTCGGACGAACTGCTGACGCCAAGTGCGTACCGAAGACGTGAAACAGGAATCTTCACAACAGTCAAAGCAATGAAATCCTGATCACTAACAAGATTGTTGACACGTTTGATATCGGAAACCTGGAAACGATTGAAATATTTTCCACAATCATTACTATCATCTCTGTGAACGTACAGAACTCACTATTTTTCTTTAAAATTCAAGAACAAAAAGCATTTCATAATTATGTAGGGAATAATCTAAGCAGTGACACTTTCTCTATAATAAACCTTCATCTCCCACAGAATGAACACCGCTTCAATCAGATGCCACCCCAATAAAGTTCGACTTTAGCATCGTTTCGGCCACTTATAACTGATCAACTTCCTTAAGAGCTGTCAAGCATTCCACTTCGATTCAACTTCGCAAAGACTTTTGAATGCGTATCGCGCTTTTTTTTATGGCATGAAATCTGCAGATGACCAATCCAGCAACGCCCCTACCACATGTTCAGTACATCAAGAAATGAGCTCAAATGAACTCAATGATACATGTTATTCTGTGATACATCAGAGACATGCATATTTTTCAACTAATCTTTAGCAGGGAAGAAGCACCGCGTGGGCAAGCTTTCTCTCTTTTCGCACGAGGTGATCCCACCCGCCCAAATGCTCCTACCCTGCATAGGCTCAATTAACGAACTACATTCCCCTGGCTAAAGCCTTATGAAAGCGCACAGATGATCGGTGCCAATCCTCCTCTTCGTCTCTGATACAGGGCTTACATAGCGAGGATTAACACGTACGACTGTGTTCATTTCCTGATATACTGAACTTGTGATGGGTTGCCCACCCCAACTACATTCTGCGGATCAAGTTTTGATTTCTTGATCGCTTGACTTGATTTTGTGCTTTCGCCGACGTGCGTTGTTTCTACCGACGACTGACGAATCGACCGCGTTGCTGGCCACTCGTCGACAACGATGGAAACCGATCGATGCCGCTTACGCGGCCTTGAACGCGATCTGTCTTGCACTGTCAACGGTCTGCAACGCCGTCGGTCAGTGAATCGGTCGCCGGTTAAAACAAAAGCACATCTTTGGACTCTAAAGGCATTCATTCGCCAAACTCTTTATGAAATTTTACTTCCAAAGAAAGTTCGCTAAAAAGAAACTTCAAGAACTCGGCTGAAAAAACGTTAAATCAAACCCACATTAACCGAGTATTGTATTGCAATCTTGTTTAACGTGTCGCCTGCTTTGATTTTCCTCTCTATAATAACTGCATCCTTGGAGAGTAGTGAGTCTTTCCGTCGTTCCTGATCAGATAATGTTCGCCCAACTCTGGAACGCATGGCGAAATGCGAATGGCTTTCAGTAGACATTTCTAAGCTGTTGTCAGCTCTCAACCAAACGGTGTGGAATGGCTGCTGAAAGGTGACCGCCTCGTGAGACTTCAGTGTAGGAGACGATGCCAAAGAGACGTACTCGCAATAGAGAAGTGCGTTTACGGTGTCGTGGACGCTTCTGCGAACTCCGACAATTAAGCATTTTTCACCGCACGAAATGTTGCACAACCTGCGAAAATGCGACTTAGGGGAACTTAAGGAGGTGCTGGAGGCAAGTAAATCTACCTGCATCACGGAATTTTATATTGTGCGCTTGCTAGAAAACGGTAGACTACTTTAGAATGTGTCCTTGCAACCAGAGGTTGAAAGGCTTCGGTGGCTCATAAAGCGGGATGGCTTAGCGAGATGATCATGCTTTTTTTTCATTGTTCGTTGCAGACTTTGTTGATTTTGGTTTTTCATCACGTCCCGTACCGTTGAGTGCCTTCTGTGTGGGTAATATTCTTTTTTTCATCCCGGTTATCTCAGCATTTTGTTGTAGGAATTTTTCTATTTTATTTTTTCTATTCTATTTTTTATTTCTATTTTTCCTGCTTTATATCGTAGATAGCACTAATGTGTTGTGCGTCCATTTTTTGTTATTGCTATTCTTACTCCTTATTACAGAATCAAAACACTTCAGTGCTACCTAGAATATAAAGCGGGAAAAGACCTTGACCCCTTCGATTCGATATTATTTGTTTTGCCTTTGTTTTTTCAGCGTGAAACAGTGAATTTTAATCAAAATTCTTAGGAGAACTGTTTGGGAGCTAAGAAACCCCGAGTAATATGTTTGCAGGTGAACATTGCTCTTTGAAAGATCGTTCTGTACGACTGGGAGGTGTGTATGGAGCCCTTTCTGTAGCTTGAAAGAGATTGCTTCTTTGTTCGCCGAATCGTGAACATATGCGAGCATTTCACTGCTGCTTGTTTGTTTGTAGATTTCTTTAAATACATTTTAGTATTACCTGAATTGAATTTGATTGATAAACTTTCTCTCTTCCTGTATTCCTCTCAGTTTTTACATCCTCCTTTTTTAATGAAGTCCACTCACTTCCATTGTCTTTATTTATAAAGGGAGGCTGTAAAGCTGCAAGGTTCTTCGTTTCTCCAATGCCTGTTGTTATCGACTTAGCGGGTTGACCCTAATGGGCTTTGAACGGATCGGAGAGCAGTAACCATCCTCGATCATCAGTGCTATGATTTTTTGTAATGTCCGTGCAGACGTAGTCTTCCCTCCTGTTACCGATCGATACGATAGCAGCGCTCCCGTGTTTACTTCCAGCGCCGGACCACCCATAAGAATTCCGTTTTTTCATAAGTCCCCTTCTCTGATCTCTACTTTTATGAATTGATCTCAAAATTGCCTCAGGCTATTGAGGAGAGAGTAGCGAAGAGTGAACGGCTATCGACGGGAGGCACTGAGAAAATATGAAATAGAACAGTTAAACGGGATTGGTCGTTGCAGTCAGCCTTCTTTCTATTTAGAAGTCCATAGATTTTCAAAAACGTTGATATGGAGTGTCATTTGCCTCACCTAGTCTACCTCTGCGTATTCTTCGCGAGCTCTTTTCAAATATTTCTTTAGAACATTGTTCAGGGAGATGCTGGTCAAATGCCTGGGTAAAGTTGGCCCTATCTCTCAGATGGGGTCTCGTGCTTTGTCAACCGATGTAAGCCTTCCGTTAGATATTTTTCATTTCTCCTGACCAGTTTGCTGATTATTGCTCGGTTACTCTTCTAGGTGCGGCGGGTTGTGCTAATTCCAGGTGATGGGATCGGTCCAGAAATTTCTAAATCCGTTCAAGAAATATTTGAGGTAAAGCCTAGAATCCCTTCTTGTAACTTTTTAATTGCTTTTTTTTTCTAGAGAATGATTATGCTGCCTAATTTAGGCGGCTAAAACACCTGTTGAGTGGGATCCTGTTGATGTAACTCCTGTCAAAGGAAGAGATGGAGTTTTTCGGATTCCATCGCGATGTATCGAATTGATGCACACGAACAAGGTATTGTTGCAATTGTGTTTGTACACTTCTCTTACATTTAATCGTGAATTTGTCCAAATGACCACAAGCAACCTCTGCAGTAATCCGTGTGTGGAGCCAAGCTTGCTGTCATGGAGATTTTTCCGCACGAGGGATGTCCATTATTCAACTTTTTTGGCTTTGTCGAATCATTCATTTCGTTTCAAGTGTCACCCATCAGGAACGCATCAAGCGTTAATGCCCCGTTCGATTCGGATCCCCTTGCATCCCTTGCAAATCGGCATACTTTGTCGTCCAGGCAGAATATTGTAACCGATGGCGGTGAGATACGCTTGTAATTATTCGGGATCCTGTCTGTTTTCATCATTGTGATTGAATGAAACGCTCTATTTGCGTTTTTGTTCCTCGGAGGTTCCCTTGTTGTCACGCAACAAGATACTGTCCTGCAACTCGTTGATCGTCCTGTTGATACATTGATCAAGTTTTCACGACCTACACGTATCATAAATTCTTCCTCATTACTTACTGAAAAGAGTATGTGAAGATAAAATGAAGCACAGATTCCTCTGCTTCTGTTAAAACAATGATGCGACGTTATGAAAAGAGGTTTGTACGTTCAACGTACACTTATGGGAACATCTGATGAATTGTGGGCACTAACGCGTGTTAAAGTACCTGGAAAAGCAATTGGCCTTTCAATGTGTCGACCATGAAATATGAGAAATACGACTATATGTATTCTCCTGAAGCTCTTATCGTCCAATGTGTATGGTTTAGAAAATCGAAGCTGACTGCTGTTTAGGTAATGTTTGACTTTTCGAAGCGTATATTAAAGCAAAAAGGCAGCAGCGTCGAAAAGTCGATTCTCACCGGATGTTCTTTGTGTTCTTCACTACTACGTCGATGTTATTAAAGGCACAATCCACGATAAAAAAAAATGCTTTTTGAGATTTTCTTCCGGGATGAACCAATGGTTCTCAATGATAGTGCAAGGGATATTGTCGGGCCGAAAAACGGCTTTAAGGAGACGTAATAAGGGCTTAACCCGATTTGGCCGACGTACATACCCAAAAGTGGCCTTGATAAGGCTGCCGCACCAAACGATCGCCTCTCCATCAAGGCATAGGACGAGAGTAATACGCTTATGTGGGGGACGCCTGGATGATCATAGACGGCGGTGTGTTTATACGAAACCCGAAATCGTACATCTACATTTTCGTTTTCACAGAAACAGTTTTTATGCTATGAACAATGCCGTCAGTACAATGAGTGCTTCCGGTGGGAAGCATATTTGCTATTTAAAACATCTGTAGTCAGCTCTTTACGCTACTGCGATAACTGACATCTCGTCCAGAAACTCCTCCCTTGCCGTTCCTGTCGTCATACTATCGGATGACCCCTTTCTTACTATTTTTTTGAAATCCAACAATTTTTCGCTTTGTACGTGACCTTTGAAATACTTTGCACCATGACCTCCATTATTTCTCTTAGCTTAGGTACCTCGAAGACGTCGAACTCTACCTTTCACCTTTTCAACAAAACTATGATCAACATTTCGCATTCCAGAAGAAAGTCGTTGTCCACGAGAAAAGAGGGAACGAATCTGTTTTACTCAAACTTTTCAGTGCCTTTGTTTCCATCCAGCTCGGAGCTGGGTCGTTCATTAAATGACTTCTCCTAGGTAAACGTAGTTAGAGCATTTAGAGATATTCATGGCGTAAATGAGTACTGGGTACAAATCCATTCCTCATAAACATCATCTTCGTTAGGTTAAGGCTCACATCGATCTCTACAAGCGTTATCAAATTCAGTCACCATTCCTTCCGTCTGCTCGATGTTCATTGTTATAAGCACTATGTCATCTGTGAAGCGGAGATAATTTGAATAGCGACCGTGTACCTTCGCAATCATGTCTCTATTCTAAAAGAGGAGCGGTGATCTCGAGAGCAGCACTGAAAAGTTCGAGTGAAACAGTTTTGTCCCCTCTTTTCCCGTGGACAACAATTTCTTCAATATAGAATGCGAAATGTTGATCGCAGTTTTGTTGAAAAGGTGAAAAGGTAAACTTGCAGGGTTACACTCGAACCCTGTCCTAAAGTGGGCAGGAGGCGTGTTTTTGAAGGTGATTTGAATCCCAGTTACTTCCCATTCACTCAGATGCAATCTTATGCATGAGGCGATATGCATAAACATGGCACCCGCATAGTTTCCATACACGCATGCATGCATACACTTGCAAAAAAACATGAGGTATATATTGTCTGCATAAATAGGGTATCCTTTCCCTGAAACTACCTGCGCCTTCGTGCAAGGTGACTTAAGGCCCGCGAATTTTTCCCAAGTGGGTCAGTTCATATCGAATGGAAATACGGGCTCGTTTGTGCCAGGCCTTACCTCTGTTACTTGAAGGCACAGTTCACGATAATTTTCTGCAATCCAGATTATGACGAAAATGGAAGGTATGGTGGAAAATAGTGCGAAGAAGGCAAAGAAACTGCGTGAATAGGTGTTTCCAAAGTGGAAATAGGCTTCGAAAAATCGTTGAAAAGGGGGCTAGACGAAAGTGAGACCAGAAAAATGAAGACGAATGGGGCCTTTGGACGAGGTACACAGTGTAACAGTGCATAAGTGTGGGTCCTCGTGCGAATAGCTGACTAAGATAGGCAGAAATTATTCACTCATAAACGAAGTTAACAAAAAAAANAAAAAAAACTCTTACATGGAAGGCCTTTGAAGGCGTAGGACGCTTTTCGAGAATGGTTTTTCGCATGATATTGGAGCGTGAGCACGAGTATAGAATTATGGTCCATTTCCGCTGCATGGCCTTCTGAGTGCCAAAAAAGAAGTGAAAATGACGTGTCAGAAATCGCCGTTTCAACCCACTAAGCGTCGCTTTTTCATTCATGGCGTCGACTGTCCGTACAGTAGAAGACGCCAGCGGACTGCGCATTGAAAATAACGTCAAAAAAGGGAGCCACATGTTGAAACATGTTGATGTGTGCGGGGAGGTTTATATGCGCTCACACCTGTTGAGCTGCTAGCAGCCACGGATGGCGTGGTGGATAGCGATGTGGACTTCGAGTTGGGACGGCTCGGCTGGGTTGATTGTTCGGATCCTTGGGGTTTTGCCGTTCTTGCATTTTACGCTGCCACCTCACGATCCGTATTGCACCATATTAGGGCCAAAGCAAGTGATTCTCTGGTCATGGTCGTGACCAGGACCACCCATAACCTCTACAAATCGTTAGAATTCGATGTGTGGAGCACTATCAATAGAGGAGCTTCCAGGCTTCACACTCCCAGGAGCTCCCCCTTCCCCCCTCCCCCTCAACTTCCTCACGTGGTTTTTTCATCAGATCGGTTATTTTTGCACCCCTCACAACAAGTGTTCATTCAGTTGGTGAAATTTGGTATGATATCATTTTGGTAATCAAAAAACTCGATATCATATTATTTGATCTTCGGACATTTTATGGACATTGCACAGTCCATACAATTCTTTGAATGATTTGGAGAGTAATGGTTTAATTGTTATTTTATTTCGACCGAATTCCTTTAAAACTGATGAAAGGCGCATCTAATTTCGATTATCTCACCGTTTCTTACCCTAGCGTTGATTTTGCGCTGTTGAAGTGTTTTTGTCCACTGTTCTGATTAGTCATCTCCATTTCCTTCTCTCCTCACGGTCAGTATCTTCTGCGGGCACCTCGACTTCAGCATGCAATTAGGGGATCGCAGGTTGGAACGGGTATCGCCCAAGTCTTTCGTCTAGTCATTAATCTAGTGACCCGGCGCTAGAATGATTTCTTTCAGGGGTGACAGCTTCTTATATCAAGTCAGCCCAATGCTCATGGTTTCCTCAGCAAGAAGACGAGTTCAAAGAGATTCTGATTCTTTGCAAAGCCCCAGGGATCCGAACCATCAACCCAGCCTAGCCGTCCCAACTCAAAGTCCACATAGCTATCCACCACTCCATCCGTCGCTGGTAGCAGCTCAACCGTGGAGAGCGCATATGAAACTTACCCGCACTCTTCAAATGTTTCAACATGTAGCTTTCTTTTTTGGCTACCGTTCACGTTATTTTCAATGCGCAGTCCACTGGCGCCTTCTACTGTGCGGACAGTCTGCGCCATGTATGAAAAAACGACGCTTAGTGGGTTAAAACGGCGATTTCTGACAAAATCATTTTCACTCCTTTTTTGGCATCCAGGAGGCCTTTAGCGGAAATGGACCATAGTTCTATGCTCAGTGCTCATGCCCCTATACCACGCAAAAAGCCATTTTCAAAAAGCATCCCACGTCCTGAAAGACCTTCCTTGTTAGTAACAGCAAAAATAGCCCACCTTATTCAGCCTCTTAGTGTAGAGAAAGTAGAAAGTTATTAGAGATCGCAAGAGCAAAAAGAATAATAGAGAACAAAAGAATTGGAGCAAAACGTCGCCTCATTACTCGACGATCAGCTGAATGTGTGAAGGTCCTAGAGCGAAAATTTGCCATCTGTATCGCCTGGATACTCGTCTGAAGTGACATCGTTCGAGGGACGGGAAGTCCGGGCAATCCGGTAATGGGGCTCTCACTATGCCGTAACTGTTGAGTTTATGGGAGAGAGATGGTCCTTCCTGTTAATCTTGGGGGCCCCTGGGTATTCTTAAAGGGAGAACTTAGAAACCATTTTTATCGTGAACCGTGAAGTATATTTATTTGTTTATTATTTTATTTCAAAATGTGTAATAATAATCCTACATTATATAATTCGCTAATCTGTGTGTTTGTGTGTCGGTGTGTGTGTGTCCGACCTGAAATTCATAACTCCTGTCCCCTGAACCTAAAGCGTTCACAATTGCTAGGAGTAAGGGGGGCAGGGTGGGAACACCTACGGTAAGTGACAGAACCGGACTCCGTTCACAGGGGGCGTGGCGTGCGCGTTAGAAATTTCGGGCCGCAAATCCATAACTCCCGTCCCCATGGACCTAGAGCGTTCAAATTTGGTAGGAGCAAGGGGGGGGGGGGGGG